GTGCCGCACCTGGAACCCCTTCCGCTCCAAGCTGGCCGCGGCCATCCTGGGCGGGGTCGACCAGATCCACATCAAGCCCAAGTGCAAGGTGCTGTACCTGGGCGCCGCCTCGGGCACCACGGTCTCCCACGTCTCCGACATCATCGGCCCCGACGGCTTGGTCTACGCGGTCGAGTTCTCGCACCGCGCCGGCCGCGACCTGGTCAACGTCGCCAAGAGCCGCACCAACATCATCCCGGTCCTGGAAGATGCCCGGCACCCGCTCAAGTACCGCATGCTCGTGGGGATGGTGGATGTGATCTTCGCCGACGTGGCTCAGCCCGACCAGTCCCGCATCCTGGCTCTGAACGCGCACACCTTCCTGCGCAACGGGGGCCACTTTCTCATCTCTATCAAGGCCAACTGCATCGACTCCACCGCGTCGGCCGAGGCGGTGTTCGCTTCGGAGGTGAGGAAGCTGCAGCAGGAGAATTTGAAGCCCCAGGAGCAGCTGACCCTGGAGCCCTATGAGCGAGACCACGCCGTGGTGGTCGGCGTCTACCGGCCCATCCGGTCCAGTTCCAAGAGCCGCAGCAGCAAGTAGAGCCCCGCCGGGACTGTCCCTGAGAGATCGCCCCCAGACCTGCCGCCTTCAGTGTTACCATGTCTGTGTTTTCTTTGTGTGCTGTTTTGCTCTCCTTCGCTTAACTATTAAATGGCATAAAGAAACGGTATCCACTTGTATCCGTGAGCCCCACTGGGTTTTGCTGCAGAAACAATCCCTACAATAGCTGGGGATGGGGCCCATCACGCCAATCAAGCAGGGCAGTGACTCCCCAGGGGCTCACACAGGCTTCCTCAACCCCTGGGGGGAGGCGGGAGGGTCAGGAAGAGCTGGACAATTGCTAATGAGCTTGTAAAGTTGCCCTTGGAACTGAGGGGCACTTCCTATACTTTGGCCAAGTCACTAGTCCCTCCAGGAAGGGGCGTTGGATATTGATAAACAGTCCTATAGCCTAACACACCCAGTCTTTCCCCCACTTCCCTCTTCTACCCTTTTCTTAGATTTCAAAACAGCAAAACAAGGTGGGGGGAAGGGGCGAGGGGAGGGAGAAGGGGGGAGGAAGTGGACCCACCTCCCAGAATCCCACTGTGAGGCATCACATACCCAAAGTGGCATCGCCAAGTGTTGAGAAACATCTGGAAAAATGACTTCCAGGAAGACCCTGTCTCTGAAGAGCATGTCCTGCAGACCCTGAGCTGCTGGACTCGGTGCATCTCATTACGGTTCTCACTCCAGGGAGAGGGAGCAATGCCTGGAGCGCTGGGCATGCTCCAAACGAGGCCTTAATAAGGCCTTTCCTTTATTCATTCACTCACACATTTGGAAAATCCCCATTGCCAGTTGCCAAGGTGGTGGCCCCGTAGTTGGGAGTGACTGCTCGCTAATGCAGCGTTGGGAGAGTGGGTCTCTCAGACCTGCTCGGGCAGAGATTACGGTTAGTCTGCGTTTTCTGAGGACATACTTTTTGAACCAAAAAAAAAAAAAAGATAAATCAGATTTGTAATAAGGCAGCCACCCCTTCACTCCTCCCCAACCCAGTCCCCCACCACACCCACACAGCTACAAAGTGGGGTTTGGGGGGGAGCTACCATGCAGATTTGTTGGCCAGACTGATTCAGGAAGAAGAGGGTGGATGGAGTACACATCTACAAAAACCCGAACCAGGCATTGCCATGGAAGGTGAACTCCTGCCCAGCCGGTGTGGCTCAGCGGTTGAGCGTTGACCCATGAACCAAGAGGTTGCCAGTTTGATTCCTGGTCAGGACACCTGCCTGTGCCTCAGTACTAGGCATGCAGGAGGCAGCCTAACAGTGAGTCTCTCTTATCATTGATGTTTTTATCTCTCTATCCCTTTCCCTTCCTCTCTAAAAATCAATAAAGGAAACAAACAAACAAACAAACAAAAAGCAGGTCCTAATTTTAAAAAAAAGATAAAATGTAAAGTTTTCATTGCAACCCGGCAAAGCAAGGATCCTGACTCCCACTTCACAGGTGGGAGATGGCAGTTCAGACAGATGATGAGCTTTAGCTTAAGATGCCCCAGGTAAGGTCCCAACCAGAAACCAGAACCACAGGAATCTGACTCCAAACCCTACGGCCCTTCCACGGAGGTCTATGCTGGCTCCTGTGCTTTGCAAACCCTCTCTCCGATCCTAGGCTAATGAATTCACTGCTGGGCTGAAACCCTGAGGCTGGAGATGGACTCCTCGGGCACAGGGAGATTCCTTTCAGAACCTCACAGCACCCGCCCTCCAGACGGCTCAGCCTCCACGAGCAGCCCTGGGTTCTTTCTTACAGGTGTCTGTGGCCCAGGAGGGGGACCGAGCACAGGCACCTGGCTTCTTTCTCCTGCATGAGCGCGCGCGCGCGCGTGCACACACACACACTTCAGTCTTTGAAGTGGGACCACCTTGGACACAGGGCATGAAAGCAACCTCCTAAAAGTGTCTCTGCATTGCAGATGGATTCCTGGCCAATGGAGCGACACGGTGAGTACCAAGAGGAATATGGGAGTCAGGGCTAAGGGATGTGGAACGGAAGGACCAGGCTGGAGGCCCCAGTGGGCAGTGAGGCCCAGAACACAGGGAGCAGTGACACTGGCCCCCGACCTTCCCAGAGCCGAGGATGTGTGAGTTCCCAGGAGGCAGGAAATGGTGTCTCTAAGTGTCCTAGGCTGCTCAGCTGTCACAACAAAACCCTGCAGTCTGCGTGACTTCTGCCATGGACATTTATTTTCCCCCAGCTCTGGCGGCTGCAAGTCCCAGGTGAAGGTGCCAGCAGGTGGTTCCTGGTGGCGCCTTCCTTCTTTGCTGCAGGCTGCCTTTTCCCTGCGGCTCCCTCGGCCTTTCTCTGTGTGCGCCTGGGTGGGGGTGGGGCGGAGAGAGCCATGGAGGGAGAGGGGAGGGACAGAGGAAGAGCAGGGAAGAGAAATCCCTGGTGTCTCTCTTCTTTTTTTTCTCCTTCTTATTTAATTTATGAGGATGACACTTGTTAACAAAATCCTACAGGTTTCAGGCGCACAGTTCTGCAACACATCATCTGTACCCTGCATTGTGTGCCTCGCACCCCAAGTCAAGTCTCCCTCCATCACCACTTAACCCCCCTACACCCCCTCCCCCTCCCCCTCCCTGTCTCTCATCTTCAGACCCTTATCAAATTAGGGCCCCACCCTGAGGGTCTCATTTAACCTTAATGACCGCCTTAATGTCCCTATCTCCAAATACGATCGCCTGGAGGGTGAGGGCCTGGACATTTGAACTGGAGGCAGCACCTGTCAGCCCACCACCCGAGGGCTGGATGGGAGCTTTCAGCTACAGGAGCCCGCCTCACCAGCTCCTGAGGCCTGATGGAGGAACCGCCGTGCAACCTGAATTACCTGCACGGAGCCCTGCGTGCCGTGCCTCCTGTCTTTCCTCTTAGTGTCAGTGTAAGGTGACAGGCAGCTGAGGACTGCGACTTGGCAGAAAGGCCGGGGGTTGCGTTGGGGTGGCGAGGCGCTTACAGGCCTCCTGAGAGGTCTGCTTCCCATGAGGAGCCGGCGAACTCGCTGTGAGTGTCAGAGGACGAGCAGCTGGAGCAGTCACTCCCGCAGCAGGTGCGGGGGGTCGGGGGGCTGGTGCTCGGCCGCGGGAGCTGAACCTCGGGCCCACAGCAGGCGGCAGGGGCAGCGGGGAGCTGCCTCGGGGAGGAAGGGAGGGAGGCTGGGGAGGGAGAAGCCCCGGGAACGGACCTTTGTCCAGAGGAGGCTCTTACACCAGCTGAAACCCCTTCCTTTAAATCGGCAGTTCGCCTCCCAGCTGCAGCCCTGCTCGGAGCCGCAGGCCGCACGTCTGAGCCGCGGTGAGTACGCTCGGGCTCTCCGCCATTCGCGTTTCTCAGGCACTTCTGTCCTGGGCAGAGCGGGCTGAGTGTCTCTGACTTTAACATGCATTGTTTTCAAACTAAGAATGAGAGCAAGCACCGGGAAAACCGAGCCGGAGAGGTTCAGCCTCATGCATGGCCGCGGAATGGGCGCCGGCGTCCGAGGCCCCCGACGTTGCTGGGCCTGCCTGTGCGTGGCCTGCGCCTCTCGCTCCCCATCCCGGCCGGCGCACCCCCTGGGAGGCCTCAGGAGCCAGGGTGCAGACCCCCAGGCCTCAGGTCCCAGGGGAGTTCCAAACAGCCTCCCTCAAGCCACGCCTTGGACTTGCGTTGCAAATGGGCGCAACGTGCCCTCTCTGGAGGACGGCCTGGGGGAGACGAGGAAGCGGGGTTTCCCGGGCCTGAGGCTGGACCCACAAGCGGGGGGCGGGGGCGGGGAGAGGGGGGCGGGCATGGCAGTCGTCCCCGTGACTTCCTGCCCCTGGGTCCGGGTTCAGACCAGTTGGTGGAGCTGGAAAGAGGGCGGTTTGGGATATTGTGGAGCAGATTCTGTCTTTCTGTGTCAGTGAAATGAAAATCAGATGCTCTAGGGAAGGCCTGGCTCCCGCCCGGCTTAGAAGACCTCACAGGTGATTCTAATGTGCATTCAGCGCCCCCCCCCCCCCTAAAATCCCGTGATTGCGAAAGGCAGACTTAGGACGGTGCTTAGAATAACAGCTGAGCGTTGCTGCGTGCCTGCTGGTACCTGGGGCCTCTGTGAGGCCCGGATTCCAGGGGAGGGGGGACGCCTGTGCCGGACACCAGGTGTGAAGTGTTTGTGTGGCTGGTGCTGGTCAGAAGCTCTGCTGAGCCGGGGCGGCCCGGGTCCGAGTGGCTCAGAGAGCAGGGAGCCAAACATGAGAGCCTAGTCTAGTGCTTACAGGTGGTCCCCGCTTACGGTGCTGCAGCTGGCGGCTTTCACCTTGACAGTGTGTGTGCGAAGGCTGTCGGTGTGCAGTGGACACTGTCCTTCAGATTTAGGATTTTGATCTTCTCCGGGGCTGGTGACCCCTGGGTGTGGTCCTCTCTCCGGACGCTGGGCTGAGCACCCCTGGGCAGCCCCGCGACGGAGGGATCCCCTGCAGGTGCTGGGTCGCTAGGGTTTTTGGACACTGTTTTGTGTTTTTCCGCCCAATTATGTCTACAAACGTCTGTCTGTGTGCCAGGCGCGTTCAGCCGTGGAGGTGAATGGCGAGGACTCGTCCGGCCATTGTGCTTTGCGCTTTCAGTGCCGTATTCAGTGAACACACAGGCTTTCACCGCTTCATTATACGGTGGTCTGTGTTCATGCCTTTGCCCATCTGGGGCCCATGTGAGTGTTCCGAGCACGTCTGAGGCGGGCCAGCCTCTTGGGTAGGTGAGGTGCATGTTTTCAGCTTCTGGTATGTTCCACCGCCGATGGATGTATCGGGAGCATCTGTACCGACTCCCATGGAATGAGCAAGAAGCTAAACTTGGAGAAATCGCTGAGCCCGCCCCCATTCCGCTTCTCCCACAGAATGGGGCCCCCTAGTCCAGTGTCAGGGTCACCTGAGCTCCATGGGGGTCAGCTCGCTCCGAGAGGCCCCAAACAGAAGGCTCTTGCATCTTCTGGTCCTGAGTGGGTGGTTTGGGAGCGAGGGGGAAAGGCTGGGAGTGGGGGAGTTCTGAGCCCTGAGTCAGAGGGGACAGGCATCTTCAGGGCCCCCACTCTCCAGGAGGCGGAGGGACCTGAAGGAGGCCTAGAAATGGTGGTGATGGATAGGAGCCAGGTGCCCTGAGCCCTGGTCT